TAACTAAAAATAGTCTCTACTTAGTGTTTCCGTAAGCACCCACTAATTGCACCTTGGGTCTAACCGTAATAGTTGAGACAAACTACTTTGCCAAGTTTATAGTACATTAGTATCAACCTTAGCATGATAAACTCCTAAAGTTTTTTAAATGGATATGAATATTTTAAAGTAACATAAGTCTCATAAATGCCCAATTTAAGGGATAATACACAGAAACATACTAAACACACACAAAATAAAAATGATTTGAATTTATTCATTAATAAATATTAGAATACATCAATTTGATTAGAGTTTAAGGGCATTCGCTATCTAACTACCATGCCTCAAGGATTATGCCTCATCTTTTTGAGTCATTATATGCCTTAACTATTTCTTTGTCCTATCAAGACCTTGTTGACTCTTGATTCCACCATGACTAGAGAAGATGATGGTGCAATGGAACACCCAGAGTCAAGTGTAGATTGAAGAGGGAAACAAACAAAAAGGATGTACTATTCCTATGGAGAGGGAGAAAGAATGAAAGAAAAGATAAATAACCAATAACCATTATAAAGAAATAACACAAGAGGGACAATTGAAAGAGGGTTTTAGTTGTTCAAAGAAAGAGGGATTGTGCACCGTAGGACATTGTTTTTAGGTTGTAAGTTTTTTTGGTAGTTTTTTATTTTGGTTTTGATTAAAAAAGAAATAATGAAGATGTCTTCCTTCATTTGAATTTACACATGAAAGCGTTGTAGTCTACGGGAGGACAGAATGGCACGACATAGAAGGGGGTATACCTAATGGTGCATTTGGTTGCTGCAACAGGGAAGGGAAAATGGGAATATTCTCATTAATTCCCATTTTCCATTGTTTGGTCGTATGATTTGGTGCGACCCCAGTATGAAAAGAAAGTTGTGAGAATCAACTATTGGGCTTTTCCTCCTATTCTCTCTCAGCCAACCCGGACTGCATACCTACGTCAACAATGGTCTTTTCATCGGTGCCATTCTCATTGATCTCCAGCTAAGGTACGACCATGAACATGACCGCCAATGACCGGAAAGTATTTTTTATACCATTTTTGCAGTCATCAGGCTCCTCTTGCTGAGAGGAAGAAATGGTCGCTCTCCGGCCAGAAGCCATTCTTTCCAGCATGTTAGCTTGATTTTTTCTATAGGTCTACACTTGTATCTTGTGGATCTAACATTTTTTTTGTGTTTTCTAACTTGTAGGGTCCAAATATCCTTGCTCAATCGCGCGATTGAGCAATAGATCTACCGTAAGATTTGTATATTTTTTTCAGTTTTGTGGTCATTTTCTTCAAATACATATGATTTGGGTTGAGATTTGTATCATTTTTTGGATTTTTGGGTTGAGATCTATATATCATTTGATTTGAGAAGATGGATTGATTTTTGGTGAGAAATGAATAACATCGTGTGATGGATAACAATGTTCACATGGCCGTTGCTTTGTGTTTATTTTTTTCATTTCTTATGAATACCAAGGTGTCTTTGACACATTATTGGGATGAATACCATCGTGTGATGGATGCGTTGCTCTCAATATTTGGATGAATATAAACCAATTTTTTGTGCTGATTTTTGGGATAAATACAAATCAAATTTTTGTGCTGCTTTTTGGAATGAATACAAACCAATTATTTTGCTGACTTTTGGGATGAATACAAACCAATTTCTTGTGCTGATTTTTTAGATGAATACAAACCAATTCGTGGTCCATTGCCACATTGCCACATGGCAATGGACGAAATATGTACCATATTATATGTATGCCATGTGGCAAAACATACGTCCATGTCAGCAAACATATCATATTATTGCATGTGTTAGTGTGAACAATGTGAAGCAATTGAAAACATTACATTGCAAAACTGATCAATTTTCTCAATAAATAAACACAAGAAAATGAATTTTTAACATATCATTTCTTGGGAAATAAACACGGGATGCAAAATTGAGAAAAAAAATATATTCTCTTCCCATCCCAATCTTTCTCCTCTCATTCTTTCTCATCTCATCCTTTCTCAGCAATCAAACATACCACACATACCATAAGGGAAAACAGAACATCCAAGCAATCATCATATATATAAGTCCCTTGACTCCACTTATTTATTTCCCATGTGAGATTTTCTCCTCATAGACTCAAACATGATCCTTACCCAATAACCCATAATTTATTTGTCTGTTATATGTCTTTTTATCTTTCATAAATAGTTAATTGTATATGTAGTAAGAAACGATTTGTGTTGATATGTTCAAACAGGATTCATGTAGTTGACCTCACATACCTAGGATAAGGCTTAAATGATTATGGCAATAAAATTGATCAGGTCTCGGTCGATCGGAAAAAAGAACTACATTATGTAAAGAATCATTATAGCCATGGTCAGAATCAGCTGTAAGCCTTGGTCAATGGATAACAGAAACATGGGTTATTGGGTAAGGATCATGTGTTAACCTATGCATGTTTACCTATAATCCAATTTTTTAGTTTAGAATAGAGTATAGGAGAAACTACCCTAGTTTTAGGATAAGACATGTGTGCTGAACAGTTTGGGGTTAAATAAATAAAATAAAACAAGATAGGGTAAAAACAAAAAAAAAAGAAAAACAAAAATCATAAAAAGAAAGAAGAAGAAAAATTGAAATAAAAAGGGTAGGAAGGATTAGAAATGTCTTTGGATAATCAAGATGTAATAGCTCAAATACACAAACATAAATAATAAAAGAATAAATAATCCAAAATAATGATAATAAAATCAATAAAATCAAATAAAATCAAAATCAAAATCAAAAGAATATATATATATATATATATATATATATTAAAGGGGAAGATTTTTTAAAAAAGAAAGAAAAGAAAGATTAACAATATTTCTTTTGGATAATTAGTTAGAAGATAAGAAAAGCTAATGATAGCACAAATAAAAAATGTCAAGAATTAAATAAACAAATAAATAATAAATAATAACTAAATAGTAAAAATAATAAAAAATAAAAATAAAATCTAAAAATGTAAAAAATTGAAGTAAATAAAAAAAATAGGGAAACAAGAAGAGAAGCAAAATTAAAAATAGAAGAAAGAAGAAAAAAAAAAGGAGAAGAAGAAAGAAAGAAAGAAAAAAAAAAGAAGATGGATGCCCAAAGTAGGTTATAGGAAAATGATATAATAAACAAAATAAGAGAGATTGGTGCATGATGATCTAATTGATATCCTTTGTAAGAAGTGTTACTACTACTACGGCTAGTAGTAGTAGTAATAATAAATATCTCGACATTTGACCAAAACCATAGAAATGGGTTTTTCTGAAGATATGCAGGAACCAACAGGGAAGTAGAACAAATGAAACCCAAATAGAATTATGCTAGAAGACAACCAATATCAGTTTATGTATGAAAATATTGGTGGCAAAAGAAACGCATCTAGCATTTCCATTGATTCCCAAACCCATTTTATGCGGCGAGTTCTCCTTAATTCCCCAAATGCTCCATTGAGAGGAGAGATAACATACTAGATGTCTTGAGGTAACTGGTGATGCCATAAGTTGATTTCAAGTTCGTCGAAGCTCGAGAAAGCAGATCAAGCTTCCATTTCCATTATCAAAGGTCAAGAAGCTAGCTGGGCAATAGTTGGTGGAAGGTAATCACTAATGATACTTAGTTGTAGAGTTCCTCAAAGATAAGAGGTGATGAAGAGAGCAAATTAGTGTTCTATTTCCATTAATGGAAAATGAGAACATAGGATTGTTTTCAAAATTTTCCATGTATAATTATGCCTCAATTGAGGGAAATACCAATAAGATTGCATCTTTCCTGTGATTTTTGTGGTTCTTTCACACCTTTACCAAGCTGCAAGAAAATGACTAGGGGTGCATATTTCCCTCAAACCAGAGTTTGCACTCTACCCAAATTGAGCCTTAGGCTACATTTGGTTGTGGTGCAAATACAATTTTGCACCTTGTAAATGATGTCTTGTCCGGTTCAAGTGAATACAGAATGGAAGATTTTGATTAACGATACAGAGTATGATGCAGTTTTGTGAGTATTTGGTTTATAACATGAAAATAATTGGAAACTCGAACACCCGAACCAATTAGCATTTGATTTTTACTAAGAAGCAGAGTTCACAAGTAAATAACATTCATCAAATTTGGTGATTTCAACACGAACATCCAAACCAAAATCTAACCAACTCACAAGTTACAACTTTAACAACGGAAGAACCTTTGTGAGTGTCAGCAGTCTTCTGTGACAGATTAAAATTGATCAACGACTCTAGTTGCAATCTAAATGAACCATAACGATTGGTGTTGATTGTTGAATGAAATTCTTAGAAACCCATTCAATCCTACCACCTACAGCCACCACTGGATTTCGTTCTCCTTTCTCTTGCATTTTCTCTCTCTAGAAGTAGAGTTTAATTGTTGAAGAAGATAGTTCAATTATTCACTTGTTAGAGCTTCTAATATTTATTATCTTGACTATGAAATCCCTTACCTTCCAGAAAATCAGAGAAAATTGATGTAAGAAGTCATGGTGTCTTAGATTGTTGGTTGGATTTACGAGTTCAAAGGTCATGGATGGAAAATAATTGAGATCGGATTTTACCATTGTAGTTGCTTGTCCGATGGAGTTCTAATAGTATTATAAATTTTAATTATTTTAAAATAAAATAAAAAACAAAAATAATTTAATTAACATTATAAAAATTATGAAGAATGGGGATCCCCGCGATGGGGATTTTCGCTTGAATGGGAGAGGACCGTTGCTTTTCCTAACTGGACCAAAGTAAAAATTTACATCAAACCGGCCTTTGCATCATAAACAAACGCAGCCTTAGAAACAAATCATAGGGGTAAAAAAGTCATTTCATACTCTCGTTTAACAGTTTAAGAATAACACCCTAAATTCTAGGGTAGGTTTTACCGTTTTAGGTAATACGCGAAAATATAGAGGGTGGCTTTGTAAATGAACCTAAAGTCGAAGCTTAGGACGGCAGTGGAAGTGGAGAGAGAGAAGAAGAGGGCAGGAGAGGTCACCTGTTAACCAGTTCAAACAGAAAAATAAGGCAGACGGAAACGCAACCGAGGAAAAATCACAAACAAATAGCGGCACCATCCATTCTACTTTTGTCAACAGAGAAGTACTTCTCTATCCATGGCTAGAAGAACCCTACCAATTCTGAAGCAACTCCTTCATAGCTCAAGAGGGTCTTCATCCGATCATCTGATTGCAAGGTTAGGTTTATCATGTCTCGAGTCGAAGAGAACTGTAACCTATATGCCCCGGCCCGGTGACGGTGCGCCTAGAGCTGTCACCCTGGTTCCAGGCGATGGGATTGGACCTCTTGTCACGGGTGCTGTCGAGCAGGTCATGGAGGCAATGCACGCTCCAGTGTATTTTGAGAGATACGAAGTTCATGGGGATATGACGAAAGTTCCACAGGAGGTGATTGATTCGATCAGGAAGAACAAGGTCTGCTTGAAGGGTGGTTTGGCCACTCCAGTCGGAGGAGGTGTTAGCTCATTGAATGTTCAGTTGAGGAAGGAGCTTGATTTGTATGCATCGCTTGTGAATTGTTTCAATCTACCTGGGCTGCCCACAAGACATGAAAATGTTGATATCGTTGTAATTAGGGAGAATACGGAAGGAGAATATTCGGGGCTCGAGCATGAGGTCGTTCCTGGTGTCGTCGAGAGCCTCAAAGTAATTCTCTTGATCTATGTGCCATTTTCGTTCAATTTTTCGTTTGTTCCTTTAATTTCTTTATTTCGTCTTTTTTCCTAGTCTGTCTCGGTCTTGATTCTTAATCTTCTAGTTTGTGCATCTTTTGGCATTGATGCGATCTATCTATCTAATACAGTTAGAATTGATTGGGGCTGATCTTTAGAATCTTAGATGGCCTTGGTATAGAATTGGAAGTCATATGCTATGCTACCTCTTTTTTGTTCCCCCGTCATTTTCATCACAAGAACCTGTAAATCCATCAATAACTTGAATATGATAGTTAGAATCCCTTGAGAGAGAGATTGATTTCTGAATTTCTTTGATGCCTTCTCTTCTCTTTCATGATTGTATTTATTTTGTTTTCATTCTCATGATAACAACTGACTACAATACTTGCTTTTGTTCTGTTACAACGATTTGTTCAACTTGCTTTTCGGTTATGGCTGATGTGGCTTCTTGCTGACACGGCCTCTTTGTGTATACTTGACTAACAACTTTCGGTTGTAAACAGTCCCCCGTCCTTAAAAGAGACCTTGCACTCAGGGTCTAAATTTGGGAAACGATTCTGGAGATTGAGATAAGGTTCCCAAGTAGCATCGGTTTCTGGAAGATGAGCTCAGACTACAAGAGCTTCTGGTATTACATGATTTCCTTTATGTACCCAGTGAAAATCGATAATGTGTGCTAGTTCTGTTTGGAACTGTCCATCCTCCGAAAGTGGTGGTAATGTGGAGTGTGTAACAGCCCTAGGCTTGGGCCATTTCTTAAGCACCGAGATGTGAAAAGCGGGGTGAAGTTTGGATGTTGGTGACAGATCCAGCTTGTAGGTCACTGCTCCAATCTTGGCAGTGATCTGAAATTGGCCGAAATATTGTGGGCTAAGTTTATTCTAGCCATAGCCTGCTACTGAAACTTGCTGAAATGGTCATAGTTTAAGAAACACCCTATCACCTACTTGATAGTTGCATGATCTATGCTGCTTGTCGTAGATCTATTTCATCCATTGCTGCCTATAGCAGATGGGCCTGTAGTTCTTGTAGTATGGCATCATGCTGAAGTAGTAGATCCTCCAAGGCTGCTATTGCGGTGGTGCCCTTCTCATATGGGAGAAATACAGGTGGATCGCGACCATATAAGGCTTGGAAAGGTGTCATCCTTGCCACATTGTTGTATGTCGTGTTATACCACCATTCAGCCTAGTCCATCCATTTTACCCACTGTTGTGGTCTATCTCCTGTGAAACATCACAAGTAGGTCTCAAGACTGCGATTGACCACCTCTGTCTGTCCATCTGTTTGAGGGTGGTAAATCGTTGACTTGAGAAGCTTAGCTCCCTGAAGGTGAAATAATTCCGTCTAGAATTGACTCATAAAGACTAGATCACGATCAGGAACAGTGGAGCTAGGGAGTCCATGAAGGTGCACAATTTCTTTAATAAAAACATAAGCCACGGAAGCTGTGGTAAATGGATGAGAGGGGTAAAAAGTGACCATATTTAGTAAGTCAGTCCACTACAACAAGGATGGTTGTTTTCCCAAGTTAAGAAAGTAAACCCGTAATTAAATCTATAGAGATATCTTGCCAAACTTGTGTGGGTATTGACAATGGTTGTAACATTCTCATTGGCGTTCTGGTATTAGCCTTGTACTGTTGACAAGTGAGGCATTCAGCAATGACTTTCTGAATGTAGGTGTGCATTCCCTTCCAAAGCGATGTTGTTTGTTTTTGAGTGTGAAGGACCCCAGAGTGCCTCCTTAAGGGAGAGGCATGGAATTCCAAAAGCTGGCTCAAATGAGGAGAATGGGTCGATATACATAACTTGTTTTTGTAGTACAATAGATCATCTTGAATTGAGTACCCCAAAGATGACAACGGAAGGAAGCTTCAAAGGCTACAACGGCCTTAAATTCGATGAGGCGCTGAAGATGAAGAAGACAATTGCAGGTACCGCTGCAGGTTAACAATGGAGAGGTTAGAGGATAGGAAATCCAGATGATCTTGGCATTGGAGGAAGCAAGGTTTAAAATGTCGATGTCGATGGAAATGTCGCTTACCAAAATATAGGACATATGTCGGAAATGTCGGACATTGTGGAAATATTATGAAATATGTGGAAATATGCAAAGATATTTTGTAAAATGATAAAAGAAGCATGAATACATATTTCTAGACTATTATCTTACTCCCAACCATTATATAAAGCTAAGAAACTAAGATCAATAAC